TTTTAAAGCTTCACTTAGAGGCACTGGATGTTGGCTAGAGCCCAGGCTGGGGATGGTGACAGCACTGTACCAATGCTTCTGTTGGGACAAAAGCCAGAGCATCCTGGCAAAATGGTCTTGCTCCTCTGTTCAGGGTCAGCCTGATGCCACATTTGGAGTTAGGAAGGAATTTTCCCCCTAATTCGATCTGTATGGACTGGGAGGGTGCTGTCTTCCCTGTACTGGGGGTATGACTGGTTGCCTGAGATCTCTTCAATGCATGTGAACAACCTTTTGCAGCAGCAGGACATTAGATGCTGTGATCTTCCAGCTTGACCTGTGGAAGGTTCTTGTTGTGGGTCAGGGTGACTGTAGTTTTACTAAGAGGTCAGACTGTGGATTTGTCTGGGATGGTTTGGACAGGGCTGATCCTGCCTCAGGCAGGGGGTTGGGTTAGAAAGGACCCCCGGAGGTCCCTTCCAACCCCACTTCTCCAATTCTTTGATTTGATGACTCTGGCCCCCTGTGCAATCCTCTTGATCTCTTTCAGGATTCGGCATTAAGAGTGTCTGCTGTACCAAAGAACCTCCCCTGAGCCCAACCACCTTTTGCTCCTGTGATGAAGGTTCCTATCATCCTCCTCTTCCTCTCTACTCTCCTGGTTGCAGGTGAGAGGCACCATTACCTAGACAAGCTTGTCCCTATATGAAATGCCCAAGCCTGAGCTGAGGCTGACATCATTGCCCCCTAGAAGTCCCCAGCGGGTCTCAGTGGCTCTGACTTGTCCTCCAGAGCCCCAGCGTGGCTGGCTCACCCCAGTCCAGGGTCTGGGGACTGAAGGGACTGGGAGGTGACTGGGAGTGGGGCTGGGCCTGGGCTTCCTGTCCAAGCCCTGGGTCAGGGAGGGGCCAGATCCTGATGGAGCATTTTGTCTTCACCTCTCCAGGGACCTGCCTGGAATGTGAGGTTTGCAGTGGTATAGGCAACACCTGCAATGGTAAAATGATGGCCTGCAGCTCTGGAGAAGACAGCTGCTTCATTGCTCTGGTAGAGTTACCAGGAAGCTTTGGTGAGTCCAGTGTTTAAGCAGTGGTTCAATAAGAACCAGGTTTGAGAGCCCAGGACCCTTGTGTTCTCTCCCAGCTCCGGGAAGGGAGTGGAGTCTGGGGGTAAGAGTAGGGAGATCGGGGAGCCGAGATGCCTGGGTTCTGTCCCCACTCTTGGAGGACACTGGGGACTGGGGGCTCAGAATAGGGGGAGCAGGAGAGGTGGGATCCTGGACCCCTGGGTGCTACTCCAGGGTCTCTGTGACCTCAGGTATGTCCCAACTTCCTGCTTCTGCCTCCATTTCCACTCCAGGTGAGGGTGTGGAAGTGACCTTCCCTTTTCAGAGCAGGGCTCTGGGGTTGAAATGTCAGAGGGGCTCAGCTCCTTCTTCTCCATTATAGGCTCAGTGAAGTACATCCAGACTATGAAGGGCTGCGTGACTTCCCGTGTCTGTGGACGGAGTCCAGCCATCTTTCATTCTTCAGTGACATATAGGTTAGCCTTCACCTGCTGCACCGGGGACTCCTGCAAGCACACCTCTGTTCAACGTACGTAACCATGTCCCTGCCTCTCAGCCCCCCAGCTCTATTTCCTCCTACCATTGGTTCATCTCCACCCTGGAGGATAAGCCACTCAGGGCCTGTTTGGTTCTTTGGTCCTGCCGGGAGTGCCCCATTGAGTCTCACTGGATCCCTGGGCTGGGTAGGAATCTACTCAGGGGTAGCTTGTGCCCTTAGCTGATGTCCCTGGGGAAAGGATTTGGGGTTGTCTGGTGCACCCGTGAGCTGACACCCCTTGCATTGTTCCTTGCAGTGCCTGCAGAGAACATCATCCCCAATGGGCTGTACTGCCCCACCTGTGTAACAACTGGGGATACAAATGATTGCAGTATTGCAAGGGTGGCTTGCACTGGAGAGGAGACTGAATGCCTGCACTTAGCTGAACCAGTTTCATCGGATCCTGGTAACTCCATGACCTTCCTCCTCCTAGGGTGCAGCAGGGCTGGGGGAATCTGAGTAGAGTCAGGCTGCTGGAGGTCTTGGGTGGTCTAAGGGGAGGGGAAGTGACAGGGACTGGATAGAGGAATGGATATATCCTGACACCAATCCCTCTCCTTTCCTGTCTTGAGGTGCTGCCAAGCCCCCAACACCCCACAAAGGCTGTGCAACACCACCAACCTGCAACCTCGGAGATGCCATCAAAAAGTTTGGTATCCTGGTAGACCTACAGACGTGCACAAAACCCACTGCATTTGCCAGCTCAGCCGCAGGACGTGGCAGACTCCTGCTCCCATCCTTCATTGGGCTGATCCTAGCAATGCTTCTTGTCTGAGCCTCAGCCCATGTAAAGGCAATGAAGCCCAGAGTGCCCACTCTGCAACCACTCTGCCATGCCTTGCCCTGGTGCCCTTGGGCTCCACACCAGTTTGATTCTCTGATGGTTCATTAAAGGGAATGAGGGAAGAGACATGTTGAGCTGCCTGGTTTGTATTCACATTTGGGGAAAACAGTATTTGCCGGGCGGGGGAGGAATTCCAGCAGGTGGGGGCAGCAAGGAGATAGATGCTTGGAGCTCCCTAGTGGCGGAAGTTGGCAGCACTGGCTAGAGGTGCCTCCCTTGGGTTCCAGTAGTGGGTCTCCATGTGGCCATGCCCCCTGCGGAAGGAGGATTGCAATTCCTGACCAACAAGGGTTGATTAGGGTTTCACCCCACTTTCCAGTTCCTTCCTAACTCCACTTTGCTTCCTGTCACTCACCCGCCATGACTTTGATGTTGTTCATTGCTGATAGGAGGGGTCCTTGAGGGTTGGTTGTCACCTTCTGGGATAGACTGATCTGACCTGGGGCCTTTTGCCCTTCTCAGAGTATTTCCCTTTTAAGGGGTACACCCCATTGGCTTCTGGGGCATTTGTTTTGCGTCTCAGCTGTCACAGCCTTAGCCTCCTTTTCCTCTCTGGCCACACCCTTCACCTGAGCCTACTGTTCAAGACCTCTACCTCCTGGGTTTGGCCTTGCCTGAATAGCAATCTCCTTTGCAGGGGTCTACTTGCACCTCAATAGTCTCTGCCCCTCTGTCTCAGGGCCTGACCTCTGGTGCTTATTGCAGGGGGGCACTCTCAAGCACCCCTGTCTACACTTCCTCTTCACCCCTTATAGCCCATCCCAGTCCTTCAGTCAATCTAACTGAAAATACAAATGCCAGCCTCCTGGCTCTAAAGCAAAACCCTCCCAACCCTGAGTTAATACTTCCCCTACAGACTAGGAGTTCCCCTTGGCTGCCGCTTCTCAGCTCTCTGGCAGTAGCTGGGCACCAGTCAGCCTACCTCTTGCAACCATTTTACATCAGATCTCCTTACCCTGCAGCCTTCAGGGCCAGACTGTCACTTTCCAGCTCAGGGACTGGGCTTATATTCCTCAGTCCAACCTGCTTTCGGCCACCTGATTGGTTCCTTTTGGGCACATCTACACATGCCAATTTAAGGCACTTTAGCTTGATTTAAGATGTAATAAGGGCATGCATCTATATGTGCACACCCCTAATGCACCTTAGATATGGCAATTGTAGGATATTCATGTCTAAATTTGATACTTGCAAAAAGCGCCTTAATGCATGTGCTTAATGCTAAAGTGCCTTAATGCATGTGTAGATGCACCAAATCTCATTAACACAGTGTGTGTCAACTGACTTTGGACTAACTTTAGTCCCAAGTTGGTCCACATATCGCGTTAACGTGCCTTAGTGTGTGCACATGTAGACACGTGCCTAAATCACCTAAATGCGCATTAGGTAAATCCACATTAAGTTTAGTCAAGCATAAAAGCATGTGTAGACATGTGCTTTGTCTCTTTTCCCCCAGTGCTGGGTGCAATCAATAGCCTCATTAGCTGCCCAATCCCTGGCCCCTTATGGACTCAACCCCTACTAGTATAACAGGGGCAGGGGTTCTCTGTTACATATGGGCTGTATTTTGAGGGGGCGAAATTTGAGGTGAACAAAGGGAGATGACCAAGATCCTGGCTTAGCCTTGAAGCCCCAGAGGGGGCTGCTGTGGGGTTAGGTCCAGAATAGACTGCCATGCCTCTTAGCTCAGATATTGGGGGTGGGGCACAGGGAGGGACTTTCTCTCTGGGAATGAAAAGCCTTTTTGTTCCTTCCTATCGGGGTCTCCCTGAGGAGAAAACACAGCTCAAATAGCTAGACAGGAACAATAAGATTTGGAGGGAAAGTCCTTGAAATTCAACCCAATGTCGTGATATTTTAATTGGGGTTTGTGCCATTCCAGGCATTTCTGGATAAGAAAGTATAATAAAGATAATCCTGATGATAATAATAACAATATCATATTTCCTTGTTGTATAACATCCCAGAATAACAATATACTCTTTGTTTTTGAAAGGCTTAATGAAGAACCTGGATCCCTAGTTGCTGTTATTTAGTGGGTGCATCTACACGAGAGGCATGAACCATGATGCCACCACTACTGTACAGTACCAACGAGCTACTGTGCAGTAGGATCAGAAATGACCCCTGCGGCACTGGGGCTGTGCAATACTGGTGGTTACTGAGCAATCATTTAATATTTGCTTTAGCAAATACTAAATGATTGCACAGTAACAGCTGCACAGTCGGGCGTATGTGTAGATGTGCTCAGTTACTTCTTGTAATAACTAACTGAATAACAGCAACCAGGGACCTGCTCTTTATACTACTCCCTGTGAATTTTACTTTCCCTTTTGACCGGTAAACAGCAGAAACTGCTCTTACCATATTTCTTGTGTATAATGTGCCCTGAAATTTCCAGTAGCTGCTTTTTGGGGGAAAAGGTGCATGATTTTGTACAAGAAAACATAGTGAGCATTTGTACACATGCTCCAGGAGGCGGGGGTGCTGTAAATAATGCAGCTCTGAGAGCCACGCTAATTAAAAACTCCCAGAGTGTCAAATGTATCAGCATGCCCATGCTGAAAAATGGTGGTGGGGCATTTTGAACTGAATTAAAGCTTATCAAGCAAGCTTTAATTTAAAGCATCGCGCTGTCATTTTTCAGCATGGGGATGCTGATACACATGACGCTGGAGTCTGCTGGAGCATGGTAATTACCGCTCTCCAGCAAACTTGATTAATCAAGTCTGCTCTGATGCACTGTAATTGCAGTGGGTTGGAGCAGCCTCCCTGCACGTGTATAGGAGCCCAGTAATACTAATAAGAGTAGTGATAGTAGGAGTATGAAAGTAGTAGGAGAAAGTGGAGTAAAATCTGGCTTAAAGGAGTATTGACAGACAAAACAATTGTACTATTCATATCAAATGACACAGAAATAAGTGGTTGCAGTAGGAGAGGCCACAGGCATTGGGAGGGGCCTTGAGGGAGCAGAACAGTGAGGGGCTGAGCTTGGGGCCTCCCCTCTGAACCTGGGCCAGATCCTGATGGCGGCTTTTCTCTTCCCTTCTCCAGGGTCTGGCTTGGAGCACAAGTTTTGCAGTGACCAGAGCCAGGCCAGCTCAGCTCAGTGGAGACCTGCAGCCTTGGATTTGATCCCAGTGTCATTGTTCAGACAGAAACTATATCATGTATGTGTGTCCGATTGGGTTCCATGCCCAGCCCAGACACCTGGGTCGTCCCCCTCAGGCCAATTCAGAGTTTTATTGAGTTGAAGCAGGGTGAGTATGAAGCAGGGTCCATGACTTGAGGGTTGCACCCTCAGCTCTAGGATGGGGTTGGAGGTCTAATGGATTATGGGGGAAGGGGGGGGCTAACACCTAGGACTCATGGGTTCTTTCAGGAAGTGGGGGAAGTCATTGTGGCCCAGGTGGGTTCTGGGGAGCAGAGAAGAGGGGGTCCTATGGCCTGGACCATCCATGGTGATTGACCAGAGAAGTCACCAGCCTCCATGCCTCTCCCTAAAAGCCTCTTTGTTCCTTCCTATCGGGGTCTCCCTGACGAGAAAACACAGCGTAAATAGCTAGACAGAAACAATGAGATTTGGAGGGAAAGTCCTTGAAATTCAACCCAATGTCGTGATATTTTAACTGGGGTTTGTGCTGTTCCAGGCATTTCTGGATAAGAAAGTATAATAAAGATAATCATGATGATAATAAGAACAATACCATATTTCCTTGTATGCATAACACCCCAGAATAACAACATGCTCTTTGTTTTTGAAAGGCTGAATGAAGAACCTGGATCCCTGGTTGCTGTTATTCAGTGGGCACATCTACATGAGAAGCATGAACAATGATGCCACCGCCAATGTACAGTACCAATGAGCTGAAATGACCCATGCAGCACTGGGGCTGCACAATCCTGGTGGTTACTGAGCAATCATTTAGTATTTGCTTCTTCCAGGAAGTGGGGGAAGCCATTGTGGCCCAGGTGGGCAGGGGGGAGCAGAGAAGAGCGGGGCCCTATGGCCTAGACCATCCAAGGTGGGTGATTGACCAGAGAAGTCAGCAGCCTCCATGCCTTTCCCAAAGCTTGGGGATGGACCCCAAGAAAGCTAGTTCCTAGCTCCATCAGCCCCATCAGCCCCCAGTACACCTTCATCAACCCCCAATGTACCTCTCTGACCTGGGGATTTAACCCAGGTTTCCAGGCTCTCAGTCCCTGCCCCCTGCTCCGATTCCCTCCAGCCCTGACTCCTCCCCTCCCCCCCAAGTGCAAAGACAACCCAGGCATCCAGGATCCCAGCCCCACCTGCCCTAACCCCTCAGACCTCAGTCACCTCCCAGGGTTGGGGAGACAACCTGGGCATCCAGATGCCTTCATGTCCTGCTCTCAAGCCAACAGCTGGCCCGGCTCTTGGTAACACCCACAACCCACACACCCTCTTGGGCATATAACACACAACTCACACACCTACTTGGTGCCCAGAATGGCAGCCACATGCATGTGATGCAAGTCTGGAGCAGGGTTCCCAAAACCCATAGCTGCTGGGCTGTGGCTTGGGGCCAAACCAATTTGATTTTCTTTCTGCTTCTCAAGTTTCCCCCCTAGTGCTGAAGTCCCAGCCTCTTCCCAGCTCCACCACACACCTTCACTGAGTCCCCTCATGCACAGCTTTTGCAGGTCTGGCCTCACTGCCTGACAATCCCAGCATGAAAAGGATGAGTCCAACAGCCACTAGTTGATGACAGAGCCGATGAAACTATGGGGGAAAGAATAAGGAAGGTTTAATAAAAGGCAACTGTTCAATATTTATCCTTAGAATGATACATAAAGGAGAAGAGAAGACAGGGTGGGGTTTGAATAGCAGCCTTCAAGTCCCTGCAGGGTGGATCCGAGGAGGATGGAGCTGGACTGTTCTCATTGGGGGCAGATGATGGAACAAGGAACAATGGGCTCCAGTTGCAGCAAGGGAAGTTGAGGTTAAATATTAGGAAGACCTTTCTTCTAAAAGCCATTTTGTTGCTTCCTATTGGGGTCTTCCTGAGGAGAAAACACAGCATAAATAGCTAGACAGGAACAATGAGATTTGGAGGGAAAGTCCTTGAAATTCAACCCAATGTCATGATATTTTAACTGGGGTTTGTGCCGTTCCAGGCATTTCTGGATAAGAAAGTATAATAAAGATAATCCTGATGATAATAATAACAATACCATATTTCCTTGTATGCATAACACTCCAGAATAACAATCTACTCTTTGTTTTTGAAAGGCTGAATGAAGAACCTGGATCCCTGGCTGCTGTTATTCAGTGGGCGCATCTACACGAGATGCTATACGAGAGGCACGAACAATGATGCCACTGCTACTGTGCAGTACCAATGAGGTACTGTGCAATAGGGTCAGAAATGACCCATGCAGCACTGGGGCTGCACAATCCTGGTGGTTACTGAGCAATCATTTAGTATTTGCTTCTTCCAGGAAGTGGGGGAAGCCATTGTGGCCCAGGTGGGCAGGGGGGAGCAGGGAAGAGGGGGTCCTATGACCTGGACCATCCAAGGAAGGTGATTGACCAGAGAAGAAACCAGCCTCCATGCCTTTCCCAAAGCTTGGGGATGGACCCCAAGAAAGCTAGTTCCTAGCTCCATCAGCCCCATCAGCCTCTAGTACACCTTCATCAACCCCCAATGTACTTCTCTGACCTGGGGATTTAACCCAGGTTTCCAGGCTCTCAGTCCCTGCCCCTTGCTCCGATTCCCTCTAGCCCTGACTCCCCCCTTCCCCCACAAGTGGAAAGACAACCCAGGTGTCCAGGATCCCAGGCCCACCTGCCCTAACCCCTCAGACCTCAGTCACCTCCCAGGGTTGGGGAGACAACCTGGGCATCCAGATGCCTTCATGTCCTGCTCTCAAGCCAACAGCTGGCCCGGCTCTTGGTAACACCCACAACCCACACACCCTCTTGGGCATATAACACACAACTCACACACCTACTTGGTGCCCAGAATGGCAGCCACATGCATGTGATGCAAGTCTGGAGCAGGGTTCCCAAAACCCATAGCTGCTGGGCTGTGGCTTGGGGCCAAACCAATTTGATTTTCTTTCTGCTTCTCAAGTTTCCCCCCTAGTGCTGAAGTCCCAGCCTCTTCCCAGCTCCACCACACACCTTCACTGAGTCCCCTCATGCACAGCTTTTGCAGGTCTGGCCTCACTGCCTGACAATCCCAGCATGAAAAGGATGAGTCCAACAGCCACTAGTTGATGACAGAGCCGATGAAACTATGGGGGAAAGAATAAGGAAGGTTTAATAAAAGGCAACTGTTCAATATTTCTCCTAAGAATGATACATAAAGGAGAAGAGAAGACTGAGGGTGGGGTTCAATAGCAGCCTTCAAGTCCCTGCAGGGTGGATCCGAGGAGGATGGAGCTGGACTGTTCTCAGTGGGGGCAGATGATGTAACAAGGAGCAATGGGCTCCAGTTGCAGCAAGGGAAGTTGAGGTTAAATATTAGGAAGAACTTTCTTATGAGGAGGGTAGTAAAGCACTGGAACAGGTTACCCAGAGAGGTGGCTAGACCTGGTTAGACAGAGCCGTAGCTGAGATGATGTAGTTGGGGCTGGTCCTGCTTGAGCAGGGGGTTGGACACAATGTGACCTCCTGAGGTCCTTTGTAACCCTCATTTCCTATGACTCTATTATCTGGCTGGCATTAGCAGAGAAATTCACTGAAATCTGTTATTACTGTTATTAATTATAAGGATTAATGAGCATATAATTAATATATCAGTAATAGCACCCATGAGTCCAGGCTCCCAGCTTTATGAGCGCTGATGGCCACATGCTGGTGCAGGGCCACACTTCCCCTGTTTCAAGAGACCAGGAATCTGGGTTCCAGTTTATCAGCTCTAACAGTGCTGATGACATTTCCTCAGTTTCACGAACCCAGAGGTCCGGGATCCCAGATTTTTCAGGTCTAAGCAGGGTGAACACATTTTCTGAGTCCCAGAATGGGACACTCACAAACATGGTCAGCTGCATCTAATCTCTGGTCTCCACTGAGCGCACTGGAGGGGGGAAGTACAGAGCCTTGGAGAGCAGGGGATGGGAAATTGCTGAAAAGAGAGAAAAAATGGCTCATTTGGCCAAATCTCTGAGATATCCAGGATGGTATCATCCCTTTGACAGTGGGATGTACAGTCACTCCAAGTCACCCAGAGGACCCCAGTTTTCTCTCAGAGCTGGGATAGGTGTCCAGCTGGTGTCCAGGTGTCCAGCTGGTGATAACTTTGTGGAGTCATTGCATGAAGGAGGCTCCAGTGTTTGAAAAGTCCTGTTCATTAAAGGTGGAGGTACTGAGAGGCCCTAGGAATCACGGCCACAAGGGGGTGCTAGACCAAGTTGCCATAGAATTATTGGACAGTCAAGCTGGAAGGGATCTCAGTTGGCCACTTCTTGTCCAACTTCTTGCTTCAGATGGGGTCTGTCCTGCTGATATGGGACATTACATTCCATGAGAGAGACCCTAGTCCATGCTTCAATGATAGAGCACAAACCACAACCCCAGGCCTCCAAGGCAGGCAGAAAGCCAGCCAGGTGCCTGCTTTTGAACTCTGGGCTTCTTCATGGGGATGGAGTGAAATATCCTGCTCAGAGAAACCAAACCCACATCCCACCAAGGTGGGGAAACAGAAACTCAAAACCAACTGCAGAAATGATACTGGGAGCTTCTAATCATTGGGGGCAGGGGGTGTTGCTGTGGGACATCAGCAGGGCCAGGCAATGTGTGGATAAAAGCAGAGGGGCAGGGCTGTGTTTCCTCTTTTCACCCCCTCCGCCCCAATGGAAAGGCAAACCTGGCAGGGGAAATACCATGACCACCAAGGGGGTTTTCTTACTAGCTGGGGAAAACCATGAACATGGCAGGGGGTAGTATCCTGGCTGTGGTAATGCTTAGTTAGCCTCCCACTTTCACTTCCAGTGGGAAGATCTCAGAGGCCAAGTGCCTAGATGTTGTTGCAAAACCCGGTAACATCCATTTCCTCCATCTCTCCTTCCCTCTCCATATCAGCATCAGCTTTGTATGTTTCTTCCCTCCACCTCCTCACAACAAGATGGAACCAAGATGTCCCATTAGGCCATGTCTAGGCTCTACCCCCACCCCTGCAAGTCCTGGCCCCCCTTGGGGTCTCTTCTGCCCTCCA